CAACCATTGACAAAAGCGCATGCGTGAGCAGGTTGCCCAGGAAACACGATCCGTCCACTATAAGCACGGTCTCTCGGTAGCACGAGAAGTATATGTAGTGCACCGGAAAACATGCTCTTTCAGTATCTTGTAACATTGGATTTTATGGTTGTTTTAACCTTCGAACGTCCATTTGTTTTACTGACTGCACGTCCGTTGTCACAAACCGTTTTGGTGAGTTCCTCGCTGCACGTTTCTCGCCCTGTCTGATCCGCTTCCTATCCTTGTAGCCTTACAATATACGTTGGGTTCAGTCGCTTCCGATTTCTATACTGTCGTATTTGACACGTCTTACGTGTCATTGCTTACCGACTAGTATACCAGGCTCCGCCCAACACTTGGTGACCCCCTGTCAAGAACAAGCTGCCCGCCATTTTGCGAAAGGGACACCGTGGCAGCAACCTGCGTATTCGACCGGATTTGCTCAGTATCCTGCATTCAGTTCCACCCAACAACCACAAACCGTCGGAGGAGGCACCATTGGTTTCGATCTCATGGCATCGGTCCCATCACAAGTGCCATCTGCTCCTATCACCTCCCCATCCAGATACCCTATTCCAGAGCCATGCGATCCTTCCAGGCCTCATCAAGTTCCAGTAACCGTTGATATGAGCCAACTGAAGGAAAAACAAATCCTCGACTCCGACAAACCAGAAGACAGTCCGAACACTGTTTCCGTTCAGAAGAAAGTAGTCAGCGTTTCGGTCGATAGGCGTAAGTGTAACCAGTGACCTAGTCCTATGTGATTTATTGAACAGGTTTATTTCGAATGGGCGTTTATTCGATTTGCTCCCTCATTTTGCCTTTAGAATGATAGCACACGGTCCATTTCTGTCCCAAATGGCCTCAATAATAGGCCGTCTTATCCAACTCCACTGCTACTTAACCATGCAAGAAAACTCTTCTTTGTAAAAAAGGTGCACTTATCATGGTTCACAATCCGCCACTTAGGAGCTCACTGCTCAGGTCGACGTCAAATCATACGGAGTGAAATCCGGTACACCGTTGTTGCCTTCTCTATTCTCATTACAAATGGGTTGTTACCATCGCTCTCCATATAACACTGCACCAGACAGTGGTCTTCTGACGTTTCACCATCATCCTAGCTGCGGCGGGTTTATGTACCAACTGACAAAAGAATGTTGGGTAACGTTCTCGTTAGATAGTTGTTTCAGAACTCACTACTTCAGTGACAAACGTTTATTCAGCAAAATCATACGCAAAAGTTACAGTGTGTTTGGCACACCAAACTCCTCGATATACATTGCACGTTCAAGTTCATACCTGACACCCCTTCTGTAATATGCGTCCGGTCGTGGGTTCCGATGGCTTCTGGTTCCGAGGTGTACGTGGGTCGTATTAGTCCGAGGTGGGCTGAAACTTAAAAGAGAATGCTTCGTAGACGGCTGGAAAACCAACTAATAAGTGTCGGAGCGGGATGAACGGTGTACTTGTGTCACACCTCGTGAATAGCTGGGCGGTACTGTCACAGTTGCCGAAAGAGGACAGATGCGCGAGGCGACTAGATGGATGGCGTGAAAGCGAACGACGGTTGGCTAATACAGCAACACCGAAGACGCAATGGGAAAGCAAAGCGAAGAGGAAACGACGCTCGTAATATAGGCTACGTTCGAAGACAACTTACCTGTTGACTTACAACTGCGACACTGACGCGCTGCACTTCTGAGTTGATTACGTTCCTCCTTTGCTTCATTTAAATAAACGGCCAATCACTCAAACGAATTTCGATCAATCTGAGTCCAGTAATCAAATCCGTCACGCCTGCCTCCCTTTGGCTATCTGGCTCGATCGGTTGCTCCATCTGCTCACTCTGATCTGATAATACCATCACATCCTCCTTTTGTCGTGTTCTTGCGCCTCCATATTGCCATTCACCCCGTACAGCTTGCGACTCAGCGTCGTCTTTGCTGTAGCTGCAACCGTGGCCTCCTTGCACCACGCCATCTGTCACTCCAATCCCATTGCACATTGTTGTCGCCGGTGTCGTCTCAAACGCACTCGATTTATCCTGAACGTTTTCTCTCCAACTTTATTTCGTGTAACCTGGCACCGACCCTCGCAGTCACCACACCTTTCTTCCACCGCTGCTGACTATCGCGTATTGGTTGAACCCACAGTTTCTCCTTCACTGTTAGCTCAGGTAGTGCGCGTGCACCACGCTCGTAGTACCGTTTCTGAGTGCATTCCTCGTCTCACATTGTTTTGTAATTGCTCGTGCTGTGGCGAACCTGGGCGCAAAGTGTCGCAGATGCCGGTATCGCCAGTTGCTCTAGCCTTTGATAACAGTCGTTTGGCCTGCTTCACCGCCGACTCCGCCTTTCCATTCCATTGACCGTGATACGGGCTGGTTCGCTGGTGCATGATTTCCCACTTGGTTGCGAAGGCCTGAAACGCGGGTTGGTAAACTGGGGCCCATTGTCGGAGATTAGCTCCTCCGGTATACCGTGTCGCGCGAGCTGACATCTGAGCTTGGCGATTACTGCCTCTGTGGTCGTAGTGGTCAGTAGATAGATTTCAAAAGAATCACTATAGTAATCCACTGTGAGTAAGTAATCATTCCCGTCATCACGGAATAAATCCACCGCCAACTTTAGCCACCTCCGGTCAGGAACATCATGCAAGATCATTGGTTTCCTCGTCTGTCGGATTTCGTGTGAACGGCACACCTCACAATTCGATCAATGATCTGTTGTTTGACCTGCCAATCCTGGCCAAAAGATCACTGCTCTTGCTCGGTTAATGGTATAGTATAAGGTTTATATCAAGGAACGTTTAAGATAAACCTAAGCTAGTAACAGCGTTAACACTGCCGAAGAAGGTGCATTCATACAGCTGCCTTTTTAAAAGGGATGTAGCTACTGGTCAGTTAATTAGAAGTTTTTCAGTCGAAAAAAGTAAGCCATCGCAACATTCGCATTGAAATGCACTTTTTCAACTGAACCACATATTCGTTCACGAAACAAGGACAGGTTGCCAATGCTGACCGCATCCATGGTTGTTTATCAGTTCGCTTCTGTATAACATTTTTGAACTACTTTATTTCCAAAACCATCTCATGAGACTTGTCAAGTCTTGGCTTTTTTATCCCTACCATACCATTATTCCATTGAGTGAGCCCGTGGCGCAGCGTATATCGGTCGAACGGTGCGGCACTTGCAATAACGTGTGAACGTACGCTGCCCACGTTGGTTTTATCACGGTTGCTTTGGGGTCATTAGCAGCTCCGTTCTGGCCCATATTTTGGACATTGGGCATCAGGTGGATCTAAAACATGCTTTTAGAATAATGTACAAGGTTCCACTGCACCGGTGGAAATTTCAACGCTTCCGTACACTTGCCACAGCCAAAGCAGTTTGCATTTGGTTGTTTAACCTCTGCTTATGTTCGAAATAGTCATTATTCCGTGCACTTTAGCTTCCCTGGCACCGACAAACGGAAGACGCAGTGGTCAACTGCCTCAGGTCCAACTCCGTAGTGCGCAATTAACCCATCTACGCGTGGTTCAGTTATCGTTGTAAGTTAATAAACGATCGATTTTACTTCATACTATAATGATTTGAAGATGAATCATTGAAAGCGATTGCTCACCCAATGACCTTGTCTTGCTCGATTGAAAAGGGAATCTTCAAATTACATCAGAAAAAAAACCAACAGATCGAATATTCACGGAAGATTAACGTTGAGGAAAACACTACGTTTTGGCTTATTATAATAATGTATAATTGGACATTACTTGCCGTTGTGTAAGAGCTCGTCTGATCTATTCGAAACAGGGGGTGCATGGAAATAACTTTCATACTTTCATACTATACTGCTCGCAACGGGAAAGCAGGATACTCTTAGTTTTCGTACGCGACCGTGTTAGCACATGTTGGCTGCCCTGCCTGCAGTTGAAAACTTACTGTAGGGTTACTGTAAGATATTTAGATGCCAGACCAATAAGTCATTTTGGAACCGATGTTGGTAAGCGTGAGTGGTGTTTGTTTATCCTCTTAGGATTCGATAGTTGATGACAATACATGCGAGGGTCATCTAGGTCAGGACCCTTTGCAATCCATTTTACACTTGGTTTCAATATTGTACAGACGCGACGTGGAGTCATCGATTGAACGTTACCACCGTTGCGGTAGCGGTCCCTTCGGTAAAGCTTTACATGTTTAGCATACATTTAGAGAGTGAAAGTCGCGGTGACATCCCAGACAATGCTGGAGACCTCTCGAAGTCCTTCCTTTCACCATGTTTCTGCGAGCGGTGGTTCTTCGGTTTATTCAGATCTTAGCACTTTAGTGCACAGTCGATGCCATGTAATCAAAAAGGACGTTTTTCAACCTCTTGTCACATGGGGGTTGCAAGCGTCACAACTTTTTGATTGCCATCCCGCCTGAGGTCGATATTTTCCCGCTGGTAACGGTGTGAGCTCGCACATACAAGTTCGTTATTGGAGAAAAGTCTGACTGATCGAGTTGAGCAAATGTCATTCATGGTAGGCCGGCGTAATGAGTAGTTTCTCTTGGTCTCTTATCAGTCTACTCGAATTACCATGATAATTTTGTGTGAGCATTCCGAGACCACGTACATAAGTAGTGCACCGAAAGTATTGCTCACTTGACTTTACTCATGCATGTTGTGAAGGGGCTTGTTTGGCATGTTTGGTGTGAGTGCATTACACTGTAGCATATTTTTGCTTCTTCATAAACATGCATGCTGGTTGATTCTACTTCTAGGTCAGCAAATGAGCAAAGAATAGTCTGTTTGCTCATTCTCATCGGGCGTATAAAGTGTTATAAATCGAAATGTTGGATGGAATAAACCTCGTAGAGGCTTGTCTAGTTAGGTTAAAAGACTATAAAGAAAGCAACCAACTCATTGACCAGGCAGTATGAAAAATAAATCAATGGTGTGATCAATCTGATTGTCGCATGAGGAAGCACACGTACTCAGGGCTGGTCACGTGTTAATCTTGAAGGCCGAGATGAAACAAAGGAGAAAGTTCGTGGTCAAGGTAATTTCAGAGCCTGTAACAATGTGCACTGTTTGCAAAGTTCCGGTTTTTAGAACCTTGATTGAAATGGTTTCAAACATGGTCAATCTATGTTTCTTGAGCCGTTTTGGCTAAACACATAAATAAAATAACGTCTATATTCTCGATCTTACACGCGGCACACTAAAGAAGGTATGGTCAGTTTTGTACAAGCAGATATAGGGCAATTTTTGTTTGATCAAATATTAATCTTGACGTTTAGGGATGATATAAACGACTTTAAACTAATCGCACATCTGGACTTGATGTCCAGTGCCAACTCAATGTTGTAAATAATACGGCTGATGGATTTTACCATATCTTTTCTTAGTGATGCAGGACGAACACCTGGTCGTAGGTCCAAGATGCCTAGTACCACAGGTACAGTTGAACTGGGATAAGAAATACGCTTGGGACTTGACGGGCAGTTCATTCTCTAAGCATGAGCTACGACAAACTGGATAGAGACACATGAATAATCATACTACAAACGTACATGTGTCTGGTTTTTGGGATAGCCTACCAGCCATCTTCGCCAAATGATGGGAATCGCGCATGCCAGAATAAGTACCCAATACAAACTGTCTGTGTTTTCTTTAATATTTGCTCTTGAACCTAACTGACAGCCTCAAAGCACGGGTAGCAATATTTGGACGAAACCGATATAGGGACAGGAAAGTAACTGCCTTC